ACTGGAATATTGCTGAGTGCGGCGTTAAACAACAAACGAAACAAACAAACCATCCGTTGTGGTTGTTCAAATCGCAAACAATCTAAATATTATTACCCTGGATAAGCCGCCGGGGGTGAGGTTAATAGTCACATGACTTATCCCGCCGGCTACCCATTTTTCTGCTGGGTGAACAGAGGCACTTTTCAACAAAGTCACTCGCCTAAGAGCTTTACCAACCTAGTTGAATAATTTTAAGCCATGTGGGTCGGCACCAAGGTGAGGCCACATGTATCATATGTGGTGAGGTCAGGTGAAATTGGGTTTAACGTCGTACTTGAGAATATTTCGCTCATATGACGACGTGCTTGCGTGTGTTTGTGTATGTGCGGCTGCTTGTACTATCCAAGACTGAAGCTGGGTTTATAGTGCTAGCCCACCATGCCGCAGTGAAGCATGAATACCCCACTCAGACACATTATTCTGACTCCGAGCCAACCAGTCCTTGTTGTAACCTTTAATGCCCAGCGCCAGGTGGGGACCAACAAGTACCATATTTTAACGTCTTTTGGTATGACGCGGTCGGGGATCGAACCCGCGACCTTCCGCTCTCCATATGTGGAGTCAAGCTGGCAAACACGATCATCCATCCAAGAACTCTCGGCGCCCAACGCTGCTTAACTCCAACTTATCTATGCACAGGACGACATATCATCCAGTTAAGTCAACAACAGCATCGATGATCCTGCACACTGAATCCCACCCTTATTAATACAATGGAACATATCAACAAAATCAACAAACAACAGACCGCCGTTGAATTGGAGCCTCGTCGACATCACATTAATTCATTCGAGCTCTGCAGGCGAGACAGAAAAGGCTGCTGCTGATGTGTGCTGAGTTTTACGTACACTGCTTTTTGCAAATTACCTCGGCGGAGAACACCACACACGTCTATCTACATTGTGCCCATGTGTGGAATCGAACTTTGGTCTTCGACGTGGCGAGCGAACAACTAAACCCCGAGCTACATGTATTTTAATACATTTGTCAGTGTTTGTTCTCATATTGAAATACCCGTGAAGATGCTTGTTAGAAGCTTGTCTTCAGCTACCCATGCTTGTCGTAAGAGGCGACTAACGGGATCTCGTGGTCAGGCTCGTTGACTTGGTTGACACGTCATCGTATCCAAGTTGCGTAGATCGATGCTCATGCTGTTGATCACTGGATTGTCTGGTCGAGACTTGATTATTAACAGGTCAACGCCCATATAGCTGGAATATTGTTGAGTGCGACGGCGTTAAACAACAAACCAACAAATACAAAACTCATTGTCTACGTTTTGGTTATGCATGAATGTTGTCTTCAAAGTAAATCGTCCTGATCGTTTTAGGTAATACTCGATTATCACGGTTATCTCGAATGTCGAGACACCACGAAAACCTGAAATGTCAGCGTCTCGATTACCGAATATAGAGATTCCAGTTAATATAGCGATAACACCAAATATTCTCGGGAAGGTTGAGCTTGTCTGGTGGCACCCGTTCCCACTATTCCCATAAAACCATAACATTGACATGTGTTTCCTGCCGCCTTACAGCAGTACCTGGTATTCAGTAACCCATGCTTGTCAAAACATGCGACCAACGGGATCGGGTGGTCAGGCACGCTAACTTGGTTGACACAAGTCACTGTATCCTAATTGAGTAAATCGATGTTCATCGTGTTGGTCATTGGGTTGCTTGGTCTAGACGCCATTGTTTACAGAACACCTCCATGTAGCTGGAACATTGCTGAGTCCGGGATTAAACAACAAGCAAACAAACAGACCACAACAGTACTGCTATATCGCGACGTCGGCCTGTGAAAGAACCAGAAAATCAAGATGGCGAAAACCATAAAATATAATGACACGATTTCGGTTTCCTTATTTTAATCTTCATCTCCCATTAAGAGGATGAAAGTTTAACATAGTCACTAAATCCCTTTAATCTTCATTAATAGATTGACACGTGAAGGTCCGGGTTAGACTGAATCTTCAGTAACCGATGCTTGTCGTAAGAGGCGACTAACGGGATCGGGTGGTCAGGCTCGCTGGCTTGGTTGACACATGTCATCGGTTCCCAATTGCGCATATCAATGCTCACGCTGTTGATCACTGGATTGTCTGGTCCAGATATGATTATTTACAGACCGCCGTCATATAGCTGGAATATTGCTGAGTGCGGCGTAAAACTAAATTCACTCACTCACTCACTCATCATTTGGCATCAAAAGCGGCAAATCTTTGATTGCCGAGAAGTTTTCAAACTTTGTTGGTAGAGTTGATGGCAAACGACACAGAGATGAAATCATAAAAAATTATAATCCCAAACAATAACAAGTATACTGAGTGCAGAAAGTATACCTAACCAGCTTCAGTGGCCGAGGGGCTCCTGACGTCATTTGACTGTGACGTCGCGGTAACTGATGATACCACAATGGTATTTAGGACGTTGTGAGGGTCGGTGGGGTAACCTAATGGCTTAAGCGTTCGCCCGTCTCGCCGAAGACCCGGGTTCGATTCCCTACATGGGTAAAATGTTTGAAGCCCATTTCTGGTGTCCCCTGCCGTGATATTGATGGAAATTAATATTGCTAAAAGCGGCGTAAAACTATACTCACTCACTCACTCATTTTGGACTTTGTGATGTTATTGCATAGAACCTTTGTAGAAAGAGATACCACTTGATTTCACCAAAGCTGATGCCCTATGAACACAAGTTCTAAAGGATAATGTAAGTCTGAAATGTATTCCTTACTTCGCTTTTATGTCTAAGTGTGTCTCTTGTCATTAATCCACACAAAACAATGTCCGAATGTCAGATGGTTGATCTTCTTGTATTTTCCATCATGAAAGTCCATGCTTTGTACACTGCTTTAGATGTCTCCTTAGATAGTCCTTTAGAAATTTCGCATTAAGAATTTTTCTTCATTAGATCTTTGATTTTGCTCGAAATTCTTCCTATTTCAGTAGTGGTAAAATCTTCCTCAGCTATTGCTTCTCGTACCTTTTCTTGTACTCTCGATGGCCAAACACAAGTTCGCTGAAACGATAAAACCCCCGATAACATGAGCCGTAGGACTTGTTAATCTTGTCAGTTTCGTGCACAAAATTGTGAGATATGTGAAATGTCGGATTTAAGTATTTTTGAGCGTCCTTTTTGTCAAATTCATATAAATACCTACGTTACTTTCGGTTATACCAATGGGGCTTTTATATTACATTGTATTTTGTCGATGGCATGTTTAGTAAGTATGGGATCATGATGCTTTTTGAGGTATATTTTAGCTGCTTCACTAAAACCACCAGAATGAGAAAAGAATATTTTCAGTATATTTAAGACAAGTAACAACAAGTTGTTTTGGTGAATGCTGTTGATAGGGCAATATTGCAGGTTGATTTGCACGGTTGATAAATAAGACTGAAGTCAACAAAAAGATGTGGTTGTTACCTTGAGCAAAGATTCACTATTAGGTACAATAACACAGTATTGGCCAGATAAAATTGCATTGAGCGAATGGTGCATGGACCCAATTCGACGTGTGACGACTGGAGTTCCGCTGAATAGTCGTATCATCACTATTTCAGAAATACACTTGCTGCTGCATAGTATGACCGTCCACGTGGGTTTGTTACTACAAACTGTTACTTACCCATAGTCCACGACTCCGTCTTTGTTCATGTCCAGTTTGCTGAGAAGAAGATGCAGAGCTACATTTGGGATGGGGATGTTGACTTTCTGTATGAGAAACAAACAGATCCTGATGCAATAACAAATAAACTATTGAACTTGATTACGTCTTAAACACATCCTCATACATATCATCTGTGGCTGAATGTTATTTGAACCTTTTAAAGCATTGTACAGTTGTGACCTTACGGCTTAAACGTACCAGATTATTGACTGTTTCATATAATGAAGGGGGCGGTGGGGTAGCCTAATGGTTAAAGCGTTGGCTCGTCACGCCGAAGACCCGGGTTCGAATCCCGACATGAGTACAATGTGTGAAGCCCATTTCTGGGGTCCCCGCAGTGATGTTGCTGTAATATTTGCTAAAAGCGGTGTAAAACCAAACTCAGTCAGTCAGTCAGTCATATAATGAACACGATCGCCGTCCAAAATGTACGGACAGCCATTATGCGCGGGGCCTAATGGTCTAAGACGATTTCCGGATCAAAGATGCGTACCGTGGACGTGAGATCGTGGGTTTGCCCTGATGTCTGTAGTATTGACACCACAATGCCTGTACTCCATGGTTTCACCGAAGTGCTACATCTAAGATCACAACTGCTTCTGTCTTTCCACTGACATCATGCTGACACGATATGCACTTATCTAAATAATGGCAAAAGAGGCGATAAACCAGTCTTACTCACTGATCCACTCACAAACTATTTTGTATATTCTATATGCAATCTGAAAATGTTTACTATGCAGGATGAAACCGTCGTATATTCAATAAGCAAGTTTAACCTATGGACCCAAAGAATGAGCCACCAAACAGATGTTTAACGCCGCACTCAGCAATATTCCAACTATATGGCGGTGGTCTGTACATAATCGAGTCTGACCAGACAGTTCAGTGATCAACAACATAATCATCGATCTACGCAATTGGGATACATCAACATCATGAGTATCTGCACAATTTGATATACGATAACATGTGTCCAGTCAGGTCAGCGAGCCTGACCCACCCAAACAGTCACATGCAGTATATGAGGAAGTTACATCGTTTTATCAGAACCCAGAAATCAATGACTGTTGCCTTACTACAAGCCCTTCTTCAAACTCCCGCATAGTCAGAGATCCACTTTTATCGGAGTCTAAAGTTGTAAACATGTCAAGAATTCGAAAGTTCTGTTGCCTCGCGAACTCAAATAGGACCGTCATAGGATTCTCCTCCATCAAGTCTTCAATGCTCTTCTCCACAAGTTCATCCAGTTCCTCCTGATGGCGGGAGAACCTTAGTTCCTCCCTCAAGACAGGGCCGTGTAGAACCTTCAAGTTCCGCTTGGCTTCAAGAGTTGTTTTAAGTTGAATGAACTCTTCTGTGACACTCTGTGTCTGCCAGAATCATAACAGTTAGATTCAGAAGGCTTAATGCAAATTTGTCTGAGTATATATAAACTGACATACAAAAGAAAGTACACACATGGTGCTTGTGGATTATTTTCCAAAGAGCGACGTAAATGTTTTGAAAAGAGTTTTTACAGTGATATATAAGTCGCAGACTTTCTTGATATGTTGCCCTAACACCAGAGATATCGTGCCCAATTGCGAAGTTGCCAATCAAAATCACAACACTTTTCAAATAATCCCCAAACACCAGGTGTGTACTTTCTTTGTAATGTCAGTATATGATTATATGATATTATAACATAAGCTGGTTCAGGTCCACATGTGTGTTCAGCAGTTCGTAGTGATTTAAACGTATACGAACGTCAAACTAAATCTGTTGTTAAGGCATGAGAGTAAAATATACAATTATAACAATACATGTGTGTGTTTATGTCCGTGTGATCGGAATTTATGCACCAATTTACAGGAGCCAGTATGTCAAATAGCAGTTCATGCACAACTGACAACTAAATAATCATAAGTAATAAGAAGGAGTAAGCTCTATGGCTTCTTGTACGGTTTGGGTTGTATTTTGCAATACTCCCGCTATATCGTGATGGGGAAAAACATGAGTGAGATTCACATATTCTGCTCATATTGGAAAACATCGGTTCAACAAACAGATTCTCCCTTGCTCAACACTTGAGTTTATCTATGCCATATGTAAAGGTAAATACGCTTTTTTGAATTACGGAAATAGTACAGCATTAACAGGTAAACTGTCATGAAATATTAGTGTCATAAATACAAAACGCCAACGCCAACGATCAAGAAAAAGACAGCTTCGATTGTTTCGCCGAAACAAACGTTTCCATTTCACATCATATTTATGTACCGTGACATTTTCAGCTGGGAGAAATAAAAGGTGATATGAAACTGGAAACAGTATGGCTAAAATATTGCGGACGTGACTGAAAATCGCAACTCACTCACTCACCACTTGAAAATAGAAGCTTGTTTAATATGTTATGGTCATACTTTACCCCGAGGTCAACAAGGTTCTCACATTGATTGTTTTGTATTTTTCCAGCACTTTTAGAAGGGTCAGCGCTCCACTTGGATAGATGCCATTAAGGGAAGCTGGGGAGGTTCAGGATAACAATTAACATTGACAATATGATAGAACGCTGCTCTAGTTCACTTTTTTACATGGATTTGCATTTAAGGAGACCGGAGAGACCGAACATGCATAGTCCATGATACAAATACCTACTACCACTATGCGACTACGAATCGCTTTACAAAATCTTAGTGATACAAAAATATCTCTCTTATCAAAGGTATGGAACATGATCCAGAAAATCTAAGGTAAGGGCTCTACTTCTAGCATTCGCCATCTGAAAGATGGGAACCACTTATTGACTAATACATCAGATATTGCAAACAATCTTGGAGAAACATTGGCCAAACATTCCACCTCATCTAACTAACCTGAATTCCAGAAATATCAAAGACAGCAAGAAAAGAAATCTATTAATAATTAAGACTACAATGAAAACTTTTCGATACATGAGCTTCATACTGCTCTTGATCAGGCTCACGATACTGCTACAGGTGCTGATAACATTCATTATCAACTCCTGAAGCACTTACCAGATTCATGTTTAGAGACACTCTTACATATTTTTGATGATATTTGGACATTAGAGAAATTTCCTTATAACAGATATACAATGTGGTTTCCGTAAAAACAGAAGTACTCTCGATCACTTAGTGCGTTTGGATTCATTTGTTAAAAACGCTCTAATTAATAAACAACACGCAGTGTCTATCTTTTTTTATCTTCAAAGGGCATATGACACTACGTGGAAATACGGCATTTTGAGAGATTTACATGGCTTCGGATTGCGGGGTTGTTTGCCTCAATTTATAACTAACTTTTTAAATGACAGACAATTTCAAGTCCGTGTAGGTTCTACCCTGTCTGATCATTACAGTCAGGATCAGGGTGTCCCACAAGGCAGTATTTTGTCTGTCACACTATTTAGTGTAAAGATAAATATTTTATCAACAGTTTTAAACGATTCAACTGATGGATCGTTATTTGTGGATGATTTTAATGTTTCCTGTCGTGGTAAAAATTAACATACTATTGAACGGCAACTGCAGTTATGTTTAAACAAAATAAATTAAAGATGTTTTCAAAACGGCTTTAAATGTTCTAATTGTATACACTTCTGTAGATAATAAAAGCCGCATAATGACCCGGACATATTTTTAAATGGCACTCGAATCAAAGTTTTCAAGGAGGCCAAGTTCTTAGGTCTAATTTGCCACTCCCATTTAACGTTTATTCCTCATATCAATTCCCTAAAAACTAAATGCCTCAAAGCACTCGATTTATTGAAAGTTTTTTCTAATTCAAAGTGGGCAGGGGATCAATCTACCCTCCTATATCTGTATAGATCAATGGTCTGCTCGAAGCTTGATTATGGCTGCATTGTATATGGTGGAGCCTGCAAAAAAGCAACCTTAAAATTCTTGATTCTGTCGACCACCAAGGTCTAAGACTTTGTCTTGGGCCCTTTAGAACCTCTCCTGTTGAAAGTCTCTATGTCGAGGCCGATGAGCCATCTGTTACACAACGCCGTATAAAACTATATTTACAACGCCAACCAGTCTAACCCTGCACATGACTATATCTTCAATCCCCCTCTATAAGGATTTATACACACAAACATCTTCTCTTGTTCCGCCCCTTGTGCTAAGCATTAAACCATTCCTGTCTGCCGCCGGCATTGAGCTAGAAAAAATAGCTCCTTCCCGTCTACTTTCTTCTCCTCCTTGTCAATAAGTTAGGCCTCAAGTCGACCTAACATTAACTACATTTAAAAAATCAGAAACTAATGAATGACAATATAAAAAAGAATTTAATCAAATAAAAGGTAAATATAATACATACAAATACTAATTTACAGATGGGTCCAAGGATGGTGGCGCAGTGGCTTGTGCTACTGTCACTGGATCCAGAACAGTATCTTATAGAATACCGGATAACAGCTCTATTTTTACAGCAGAAGCAAACACCCTATTAACGGCTCTTAAATATATTCAAAGACGCCCTAAACATAATCTATTCAGACTCTCTTTCTTGCCTTCAGGCTGCTAAAAACTTATCGTGTAAACATCCACTTTTAATAGAAATTAATGAATTATATAATGAACTTGCTACTGGCCAATACGACATCGTCTTTTGTTGGTTACCCAGCCACGGTGGCATTTCTGGTAACACAATGGCCGATCTTGCTGCTACGGCAGCACTCAACAAATCTGTGACACCACTTCTAATTCCATACTCTGATTACAAAGCTACCATTAGATCTTAAATCCGTGATCTGATGCAGAAGAAGTGGGACACTCAAGTAGGTATTAATAAATTACATGCTATAAAACCGTATGTTGGTTACACCTACTTGGGTTGTCAGTCCAGATTTGAAGAAGTCATCATGCGGCGATGTCGCATTGGCCACACAAGATATACTCATGACTACCTATTGAAAGGCGAGGATCCTCCGTTTTGTATCCCTTGTGATGAAGGAATCACGGTCAAGCATGTTCTGCTTGAATGTGTTCAATATTCCAGCACAAGGGATAACTATTTCAAATCATTAACTATGAAGGATCTTTTTAATAATATAAGTTCTCATTTAATTATTGCATTTTTAAAAGAATTATATTTGTTAAATGATTTGTAAATAGATAAATATTGTATTATTGGTAGTTTAGATTAGTAACTGAGATTGTTAGTGGCTGTACCCTCAAGGGTTTATCTAAGTGTTTTACGTATAATATTGGTACCCGTCAGGGTTGTGTGTTAAGCCCACAGCTGTTTATCATATTTATTGATAAGCTGTTTTCCTTAAAGGAACAGGAAGGTGGAATAGCCTTCAGGTGTTAATGTTTCATCTGATTTTAACAATTTGTGTTCACTTATGTTTGCTGATGATGTTTCTGCACTTTCTGATACATGTAATCAGTTACAACAGACGATAAATGCTCTTGAATGTTTTTGTAATCAAATTGGAATGTGAATTAATCTTAGTAAAACAAAAGTTCTTGTTTTTATAAATTTTGGGCTATTACGGGATATGAAAAGTGGTTCTATAATGGTAATCCTTTTGCAACTGTATGCACTCTCTAAATTTAGATGCGGTAATTTTAATTTAGCTCTTGAAACTGGAAGATACAATAAAGTTAATTACAATGAGAGATTATGCTTATTTTGTTGAAGATGAATTTCATGTACTACTTCAGTGTGAACGTTTTCCTGAATTAAGGTTAAGATATGTTCAGAAATATTTGACTGATTTTGATCGAAAATTAACATTATTAACATTATGAAAACACACAATAATTGTATCAGAAAAGATGTCAGTATTTTTCTGTACCATGTACTTCAGCACAGAAATGTTCCTCTTACACAGCATGTGCACTAAACTATCTATATCATATGCAAATGACTGTATGATGGGCCTGTGGCCTTTTACTTAATAAACTTGTCTGTATGTAGCCTCAAAGGGGGTTGAAGTATTGTAAAATTATTGTCCCGCTGAGGGGGTACGTAAGTCCCAAAGGATTCAAAGTTAATTTCAATCTATCCAACCTTTTTAATCGTAGAATATGTGTATTTTTAATGTATGGCTAAATGTGTCTAAATTGCTAACGGCTGAAGGGATGATGTAAATACAGCTCCATGCAGGAAGCAAATGTACTGTAAGTCCCCATGGTCCATAGTATGGTGACCTACCTTCAGTTCTTTTGGCAATTTATAGCCTATTTTCACATTGTCTTGTCATTTATAATTAACATGTTTTAGATTTAATTACTAGTTTTAAGTGGATATCTGTGATACGCTAGTAATTTTACTGTTCTCAGCGTCAGCAGGTTTTAATCTAATTTTATTGATATATGATATAATCATTAATTGTTCTCTTCACAAAATTGCTTACTCACTCATTTAATACTCCCTCAGCATATTTTTTATTAGGTATCGCGCCTCAATTTAAAGGACTGTATTTTTAGATTTTATTTATGTTTCGCCATACGCTTTGTTGGAATTAATCATGGAATATACTGGTCATTTGTACTGTGTTGAATTCTCCATCATAAGGGGTAAATACTTCAATGTGCAAACAGTTAAGGATCTTTTTAACACTGTTAATTTTCATTTACTTATTGGCTTTTTAAAAGAAATTGATTTAATGAATGAATTTTGATTAATATGTTCTGTACATATATGTATTTTAATTATTGGTAGATTTGATTAGTAACTTAGATTGTGAGTGGCAGTGCCCTCAAAGGGGGTTGAAGTAGCGTAAAATTATTGTCCTCCTGAGAGGGTATGTAAGTCCCAAAACATTTCAAGTAAATTTCAGCCTACCAGGTTTTTAATCGTAGTATTTTTGTCATTTTAATGTGTGGCTAAATCTCAGTATAAACGCCAATGGCTGAAGGGATGGTGTAAATCCAGCTAGGGTCCATGCAGGTAGCAAAAGTAATGTAAGCCCCCATGGGCCTTAGTATGGTGATCTACCTTCAGTTGTTGGCGATCTATAGCCCATTTTTATATTGTATTGTCTTCGTAAATATAATAGTTTTACATGTTCATGCTAGTTTTAAACTCCATCTGTGATGCTCTCGTTATTTTACAGTCCTTCGCTGACTGATTCTTTAGCAAGTCTAATTTATTATTTATATAAAACATTTCTCGTCACGATATGGCTGCAATATTGCTAAATACTAACTCACTCACTCACTCACTGGTCATTTGTTCATGTTCGGCGGTGGGGTAGCCTAGTGGTTAAAGCGTTCGCTCGTCACGCCGAAGACCCGGGTTCGATTCCCCACATGGGTACAATGTGTGAAGCCCATTTCTGGGGTCCCCCGCCGTGATGTTGCTGGAATACTGCTAAAAGCGGCGAAAAACTAAACTCACTCACTCACTCTAAGTGGGGCAAAAAAAGGAGGTGCATTATTGTTGATGGAATGTATATAGCACATTAATACGGAAAACACAAACTCGAGACGGGCCAGTGACATACCTTGAACACTTCCAGTGTTGTGTTGGTGATCAGTCCCTTGAGAAGCTGCGACACACTCAGCTCACAGATCCTGTTACATGTTAAATCTAATACCCGTAAGCTAGTGTTGGTTTCCAATGCCTTTCCCAGAGCCGCACATCCCCTCACATTGAATCCGTTCCATCCCAGATATAGTTCCTCAAGTGTATTGTTGGTCTAAGAAAGAAACACAAACAAACATAACACTTATTTTGCAATAATCATATTTTAGCAATTATTTTCAAACACAATACATAAATTATTCAAGTAAAATACCAAATCCCTTTTACCAGTCATTTTCAAACCTAAATCCAAAACCACATTACCTTGTATCGTGCACGTGATGCACTTGTCCCTTTAACAGTTACGTTGAGTATATATCCCTACCAGCAGGGTATTAGAAGGTAAATGGCGTGAGCTAAATGCATAAAGAAATAGTGTACGGCTTTTGAAAACTATGGAGATGACTGTGTCATGTTATGATCACGGGTCCTACCTGAAGGCTCTCACCGATTGCTGCAGCCCCTGATAGCCGAAGATGGTTCCAACTGAGATCCAACACCCGAAGGCAGCGCCGTTTTTTCTGAAGATGATATTCAGGGTGACGCACTTCTTATCTTTCTTGTTTTTCTTAAATGCTAGTTTGATAACAAAGAGCTAAATCGTTTACCTTTGGTTTGGTTATTCTTTTGACTGCTATTATTTTTGTCAGTTAATATGACACTGAAACCTACACATATGTAAATCATTATAAACAAAAAAGTATATTTCACCTATCGATAGTATAATCGAGTATGGAGCAGACATTCCAGTGATCAACAGCAAGATCATCGATCTACGCAATTGGGATACGATGGCATGTGTCAACCAAGTCAGCGAACCTGACCACCCGATCCCGTTAGTTGCTTCTTAGGACAAGCATGGGTTACTAACGATAAATTCTAACCCGGATCTATGCGGGTCTATTGGAACCAAACCAATAGAAGATAAATTAGAGATGTCAGATTTCAGAACTTCGATAAGTTCAAAATAAGTTAACTTACCTATGCCAACGTATCATCACGACATATTTAAATCCTACAACAAGTAGATTGTTTCCTTGTGACATCGTACCTATGCCATCCGCTAGCACTGATCCACCTTTCTCTCTCAACTCATTATGGCTTAAGTTCATCTCCTTGATCACATTATTTTCTTCCAGCACCTCTCTGAAATATTCAGCGTCTTTTTCGGTGAAGCCATTTCCTGGATCAAAGAAAACAGTTGAATGTACGTTACTTTGTCTCATGAGACATTAAACAACAAACAAATTGTCTCATAACAACTGGTGTCATCGATGTTATGAAATGATCCTATAAAGTTGTTATGACCGATAAATATGAGGACGCAATGTGTTATCGATCAATACATTTTTATTGTCTAATATAGCAAAGGAATTAAAATAAGAGTTTCTGTGTGTGTTTCTGCAAATACCAATGGCTGCAAAAGGCAGTGGCACTATATTTTACTGGCGGTTCACTCGTCATGGTAATACATACCGCCAGGTTCCTCAAGGTCATTTGAGCGAAGATGCGTCTTAAACATTGATCAATTTAAGAATGACAGTATTAGTTTGATCAAGAATGTCAACACCATTAAACAAAGTATTAACTTCGTTCGTGTTTGCATCCTTAATATCATGTATTAGAAATTACCTTAGATGATTATTCATTTTATAAATATGTTATGCAATGATGTACAGGTACAGACATTAGCAACAGTACCACAGTATCTCTGAATCGTAAGCCATCTTAGATAAAGGTGTCCATTATTGGTTGGTTGGTTTGTTGTTTAACGCCGCACTGAGCAATATTCCAACTTAACATTAGCTAAATATAAATCATAAATTCTAATTTACAAGAGATATTTCAAACCTTAGAATGACACTAGCGACCTGTCAGACTTTCCGTGCAGTGTTTCACCTCGCAGAACCCGTAAATCAGCTTGTTTGTTTGCTTTCTCTAACGCCGCACTCAGCACTTTTCAAGCTATATGGTGCGGCCAGTAAATAATCGAATCACGGGGCAGTCCAGTGATTGACATCATGAGCATCGATCTACGCAATTGGGATACGATGACATGCAGTTAGTCTTCAGTATGAGATCCAGTTAGAACATTCTTGTTTGTCAGCACCATTCCTCTTTCCCTACATTTGACACACATCTGAGGACTGTGATGCTTGTTCATATCTAAAACGGTTTTTAGTGAACAACAAATAAATTGCCGAACAATTGATAAGATGCTCTCCTTCGTGGGTTTATCACAACAGATACATCACATGTCAGGTTCATTTAGTGTCTTCATGCAAAATGAACACTAATAAAATCTTACCCGAAAAGTCGATCTTTTTTAATGGTATGGTTCCCCACAAGAACTTCACACAATTCCTTAGCACCATGAGACCCTAATGAGTTGTTTGTAATCCTCTGAAACATGTCATTATTATTTATTAGAAACAACAAAAATCTCCCCACATTCATAAGAAGTGTGTTATGAAGCTTATTCCATAATACGGCTTTGTTTGTTTGTTTGTTTGTTTGTTTGTTTGATCCCTATCAGTCGCCTCTTACGACACGCATGGGTTACTAAAAATTCTAACCCGGATAATTACTTATGTTTTATCATAATAATGTGATTATGAGGGGCGGTGGGGTAGCCTAATGGTTAAAGCGTTGGCTCGTCACGCAGAAGACCCGGGTTCGAATCCCCACATGGGTACAATGTGTGAAGCCCATTTCTGGTGTCCTCCGCCGTGATATTGCTGGAATATTGCTAAAAGCGCCGTAAAAACCAAACTCAGTCAGTCAGTCAGTCAGGCAGTCAGATTATGAATTACTATCAAAGTGATGATACCAGACTTTCGCAAAGAGGCATGAGAGCTGCTCACCTGTGCAAAAGATCAGGAACATAACGTGCAAGTCAAAATTTGGAATTGAACAGGATATCTTTTTGTCACTGAGTCATCAAATTGTGAAATGTTGTTCATGTGTCTACCATAAACCGTTTGTGAAAAGGGTTACTGAGGCCTTGAATGATGTAACTTTGATGAAACAACTTCTGAGGTCGAGTGCTGTTACGTTCCATCTATCTTGGTAGAAAGAGTATTAACAAACTTCAGCTTTTTCAACTCGACATGTTCTTCATGCAACCATGTGTTCCTTCACACATAAACGCCCCCTCGGTCTCTATGAAGTCTTAATACGTGTGCAGTTTCGGTTGCTTCAGTAGCCAGTTATAACAGCAAAGTACAATAACGAGAGATTTTTTAACAAACAAACAATCTTGATGACTAGATACTCAAACACCTTCTTGATAGTCTCTACATATACTTTAGGAGTGCGACATACATGTCAAAGCGTTTGAGGGTCGGTGGGGTAGCCTAGTGGGTAAAGCGTTGGCTCGTCACGCCAAAGACCCGGGTTAGATTCCCCACATGGGTACAATGTGTCTTAAGCCAATGTCTGGTGTCCCCCGCCGTGATGTTGCTGGAATATTGCTAAAAGCGGCGTAAAACCCAACTCACTCACTCACTCACTCAAAACGTTTGATAGAATAGTCACGTTCCCCGGTATGTTTGTGCCGTCCTTGCCTATCAATATATCATGTTAATATAAATGTTTATAGTATAAGACTTACCAATTCTGTTAGCTCTGGTTTGTGAGGTAGTATCTGTGAAATAGTTTCAATTCCTTTTGGCTCAAGACTGTTAGAATCCAAGGTCAAAGCTTCAACAGATGTATTTTTCTGGAAGCAAGCATGGCAACAATTTTATTGAAAGGATCTTTTTTTGTTTTGTTTGTTGTTTAACGCCGCTCTCAGCAGTATTCCAGCTATATGACGGTGGTCTGTAAATAATCGAGTCTGGGCCAGACAATCTATTAATTAATGTAAGCATCGATCTACGCAATTGGGTTATGATGACATACATCAAGTCAGCATGCCTGACCCTCAGTGACCTCTTACGACAAGCATAGGTCAAGTCTAACCTTCACCTGCTAACCTCTTGATTATGTCACCGCATCGACCATAAAACAGATATTATATTTCAACATGAAGATGAACACATTAAAAATATCATTGAAAAAAATACACATGTCTTAAAATTCAAAGCATGATTCGGGGCAAAACACAACATAATTTTCATTAATGTGATGAATTTAAACACCAATGCTGGCTCGATTTGCGTTATTGTATAGAACTTGCGGTTTTTACCAGATATAACTTGCACAAGTATGGTAGCATCCCATTCGGGATTCAAGCCCAGATTCCAAGTCAGCGAACTAACCTCTCAGTCACCCCGACTTACACAAAAATGGAATGCTGACAACTGGTAGGCTAGATCACAGACTATTGTGCAATTTTTTACGGCTCCCACGGCTATGCCTACATAATGCCGTTCAGAAAGTGGTCGAATGTAACATATGTTATATTTGGGAAAACACTTTCAAAGTAAAGTACAGATTCTAGAACGTTTTGACTTGAGACCCTCCAGGATTCGAACCCGCCCTCTCAGAGTGAAACACGCAATTGCCAGCACACTATAGGCGGAGTAGGTATAGGTCAGTATATAGCTTAAGGTGAGGTGAGGTGAAATTGGGTTTTACGTCGTGCTTGAGAATATTTCGCTCATATGCCGACGTGCATGCGTGTGTTTGTTTATGTGCGGCTGCTTGTACTAGCCCAGACTGAAGCTGGTTTTATAGTGCTAGCTCACTGAGATACCATGCCGCAGTGAAGCATGAATACCCAACTCAGACACAGTATACTGACTCCGAGTCGACCAGTCCTTGTTGTACCCATTAATGCCGAGCGCCAGGCAGGGACCAACAAGTACCATATTTTAACGTCTTTTGGTATGACGCGGTCGGGGGTCGAACCCGCGACCTTCCGCTCTCCGGGCGGACGCTCTAACCACTACACCACGGAGGCGGTCAATATATAGCTTAAAAGGCATTTCGATCTAAATGGAACGAAAGACTTACAAGAAGAGCAATTGACAGAGCACGAATGTCTTTTGTTGTGAGCCTTTGATTCGATATTTTCATTGTATTGGTCACTAAACTGTCCATGATGCTTTTGTTTGATGTTATTTTCAAGTCTCTGCAGGAACACATGTAGGCATTCTGCGACTCGTCTTCAATTCCCTCAGGGATGGCTTCCTGGTCAGAATCGTCGTCTGGAACAATGGTTATGTAAAATATGAGTGGTCGGTGCTACTATCTGCAGTATATGCAAACTCTGAATTACCTAATTATTACCGCCTTTTAGCTGTTAGATGTTTTCTTCATCATCTGGTATCTATAATATATTTCATGGCGGAATTGCTTTAAAAGAAAGCTATACATACGAACGTTTAATGATGTTACTTTGGATTCCAAAATATATTCTTTAAACCAAAATTTATCTTTATTTCATTTATTTTTATAAATATTCTTTACGATATTTTTATTCTTGTTATGCTACGTCGATGATGTTACCGTGAAGATCTAGGTGAGCATTGGTCTTCAGTGACCAATGCTTGTCGTAAGAGGCAACTAACGGGATTCGGTAGTCAGGGTCGCTGACTTGGTTGACACGTGTCATCGTATCCCAACTGCGTACATCAAATGCTCATGATGTTGAACACTGGGATGTCTGTTTCAGAACCGTTTACTTACAGACCGCCGCCATGAAGCTTGAATATTGCTGAGTGCGGCGTAAAACAACAACCAAACTAAACCAAACTAAAACTTCGATAATGGCTTGGTAATTTCGATTATTATCCCGTTTTTCTTATAAATCTCGCACGTGTTTCACGATACCTCGATTACTTTCTCGATGACATTTCCAGGTTCGAATTCATCGAAAAAATCATCGAAACTTAAATTTAGAGAGACAAATAAGTAGCAAGGAAATAATAATATAGTTATCAGAAAAAATCGAAATCTCGATTCCTAACTGACCAGAATATATATATGAAATATGGTCAAAGTAGCAAGAAAATATAAGCTCGAAAACATAAACAAATATCTGACATAACGATTAGTAAATAAATAAATAAATAAATAAATAAATAAATAAATAAATAAATAAATAAATAAATAAATAAATAAATAAATAAATAAATAAATAAATAAATAAATAAATGGTACCTTTATCAAAGTCGTAGTCATCTATGTAATCACTCTCGAACTGAGATAACCTCATTTTGAAAATACGCTTTGGTAGCGGGAGTGGTTCTTCCTCCTCTTCATTAAGTTCTTCCTCCATGATGACATTCCTTGCTCTGTTTACAATTTGACTCATCGTCTTCTTCTGAGGCAACGCCAGGCGATATTGCGTGGCCAATGCTTGGGAGCCGCCGTGTTTCAGTGGCCGTAACACATTCATCTTGCTCCTAGGATGAGAATGAGTGAGTGAGCGAGTATGGTTTTACGCCGCTTTTAGCAATATTCCAGCATAATCACGACGGGGGACACCAGAAATGGGCATCACATATTGTACCCATGTGGGGAATCCACCAATAGGCTACCCCACCCAGGATGAGATGTATTGGAAGCATTGTCAGAACTGACAAATATTTTCATAATCGTGAAATAGTCATGGTGAAAGTTAACATAACGTCTTAACTGAGACTTCTAAACACCTAACTCATCACAATTTAATTCTGGAAATCCTGGAAGCCCAGACGTCCAGAAACTCTCCGCACTGTGGCCAGTTTCTGACTTTTCATTATTGAATTATATATTGAAATAGTTTCAAATGGTAAATACGGAATCCAAATGTTTTCAGACCTAATAACAGTTTTGATGTTACTTTTTGCAGACAATTTCATTGTAGTGTCAGATACTGTGGTTGGTCTCCAAAGACAACTAAATATTCTAAATGCATAGACAAGAATGGAAATTATCAGTGAATTTAGATAAAACTAAAATTGTGATCTTCAGGAAAGGTGGTCCAATAGCGCAGAAACAAAGATGGTTATTTGATGGTCAGTTAGTCAATGTAGTGGATCATTATTCATATTTAGGAATCATGTTTTCACACACAATGAACTTGAAAAAATGTACCAAAGATTTATCATTGCGTGCAAAGAAAGCTTGAATAAGGGTAATGTCTATTGTCCACAAAGTTGGAACCATGTCACCTAATATATTCTTTAAGCTCTTTGATACGTAGATACAACCAATGTTATAATATGGCTTGGAAGTATGGGGATTTCAGCCGTATGAATATTTGGAGAAGGTCCACTTATTAGCATGTAAAAAAATTCTTTGTGCTGGATCCTCTACACCAAATTGCATGGTATATGGTGAATGTGGTAGATACCCATTATATATTAATTCCCAAATTAGATGTTTAAAATATTGGTTCAAACTTCTTCATATGCACGAGCAACGTCTCCCCAAAGTAGCTTATAACATGTTTTTACATTTAGATAACATGGGGAAAATTACATGGGTATCGCAGGTAAGGAATCTTCTATTTTCCCATGGTTATGGTTTATATGGTTATGTCAGTCAGTTGGAAGTGTAGACATGTTTCTTAAAGAATTTAGAACTCGATCTGTTAATATGTTTTACCAGGAATGGCCAAGTTTGGACCCAAACAAGGGACTTACACCACTAGGTTCTATGACAAGGTTCCCAGCTAACACACAACGTTTTCGCAACTTCGCGGGAAGGTTGTAGATTGGTAACGTCATGACACAACGTTGTCACAACGTTAGTATTACGTCTTTTTATACGTTATGTCACAACGTAATATCAACGTTGCCAATTTACGTTGATGCTTTGGGCTATTCACAACATTATAACAATGAAAGTATAACCCTCAAAATAAGTGCTGAAATGTTATGCCATCATGCGGTCCTTGTTTGCCGAGCTAAACAGGCCAGAGTAACCGCCCTTTCATTATGACGTAATTGGTGCCACTTAAATTTAGATTGGTCTCCTGTCTAGACCCAAACCAAAACATAATAATACTGAAATTAATCACGTGTGAAAAGTTTGTGAAAATACGAAAGAAGCATAAGAACTGAAAATGTAAGCAGCAGGACAGATTGATCGTGTGTATTTTCATTCATAACCTCACGTCAATGAAAATTCAAAATATGTGTAACAATGTTGACGTACGTATGACATCACTTTCGGGAAGCGACATTCTCAAATGGCGTGTTCACTGACACGAGTACGCCGGATTTTTCGACGGGAAATTTCGTTGTTTCAAGCAACGTACATACATAAATGTGACATGTAAGTAGTCCGAAACATTCTGACAATCTGCTGGTTCATATTTTCTTTTTGTTTTCATTGTGACCAAGGGAAATAGTCAGAAATGAGGAGAACTTCCATCGTCGGTGTGCGTGAATTCGTCATCAGTCATGGCGTCACGCTTTCAGAAACTATAATATGTTGTGAAGAATCTCGGATATCATCGGAATACACTATTTTTTTTTTTAACTATCGCTTGCTACAATACCTTTGCCATGCATGGTCTAAAACTAATGAGCAAGTGTATGCAACAAAAGTAGGCGAACAGATACACGACTTTGTTTACATTTCAAACAAGTGGTTCTTTCCCAGCGCGGCATCTGATATATTTCGTTAGATTTCACTGAAACACTTGGTATTGGTGACAAAGACCATTTGTCATTTTAATTTGAACTGTATGAGGAATTCAGGGATTCGTGTAAGAGTACGTGTGACGTGATTATATAAACACTCTGCAATATGGCTGAAAATTCACTTTGACGTTAACAGATTTACGATGCATGGACTTTTCAGGATATTTGCCTTACAATGATCAGATGATGTCATAGAAAACCGAATTTCAAACAGAATTAAAAACTGCCAATTGTATTTTTCTTCGTGATGTATTTGGATATGGTATCGATAGGTGGGAAGAGAGGAAGAGGTGGGTCATATTACGATTTATGTAGGAATTAAGTAACAAACGTAGAATGCCGACACATTCACCGATGGCAAGCTAGATGTAGTGCATAATCGTTTCAATTTTTGTGAAAAACGATACTGTTGAAAGACGACCGACTCAGGTTGAATTTTGTACAATTTGGTTACGTGGTAACAATGTATACGTTTTCTTCAAACTGCAAAGTCATCACAGTGTAGAACTGACCACATAGCCAGCTGACGGCCAGGCAACAGCTGGATTAAAACAGTAGCCTGCGCTTCGAGACACTAGAACCACACCTATACCTGCACCACGGGAAATGGGTCTAACAACGTCATTCCTTTATCAGTCCGGCACCAATAACGTCATTTCCAAGGGACATAAGCCATGGTGTGTTTATTTTGGACATAGAACTCTCGGTTCATGTTTAAAATTTGAATCGATTTAACGCAAAAAATAAATTAGTTACTTCTAATATCTGTACTGTTTTGGTTATAAAACAACTTGACAAACACTTTTTATGATGAAAAGGTGCAAGAAAAAAAGGTTAATTTTCGTGTAAACTTGCCCTTTAAGAAAACATGGCGACGTAAAAATGGCGTTATTCAGGCCACATAAATGGGAGTCCACAGAATAACGTTGTAACAACGAAAGCATAACGTTGTGACAACGTGAAATTGTAAGCTGGGTTTACCACCCTACCCCCATCCCTACCCCGGCCTCATTACTGAAAAACATTTATCCATCATTTAAAATGAACCAATATACCTCCTATAAACTAGAATAGGAATAACATACTCTAATAAAAATACTCTTAAAAAATAAAAGATTTATATTTTGTGCTGTGGGAAAAAGCTTTCGCCAGTCAAGCCGAAGTCCACCATTCCATTACCTACATATGTGTCTCAGTGTGTGAGGAAATGTGAGCTAAACACGATTGTGCGTTTGCTACTTAGCGGTATATAAACCCATTCGTCCATTCGGAATCTCCAAGGAATCAGGAAATAGATTCCACTGTTGGTTACTCAGTAATGCTGGAGGGTTGTATAAATACAATGTCAGGGTAAGGTATACCCAATCGTTTCTAACCTCAAACTAGATTCCATTTGTGAAAAGGGAGAAATAACTGTAGAAATCAAGTGAATGAACACTGATCATCATTAATGGCATTAGTGAACAGTTTGCATACACAACCTAAACGCGAACGACATGAAAATAAGTAAAGAAACAGAATTACCTTTGTAAGTTATATGAATATGGCGTTCTCCAACCTACCCACAACACAGCTGAACTGCCCAAGGGTCCTCAACAGGCCACGGGGACGATTGGGTTCGGTCAATAATTACCCTGACCTTCACTCACAGTATTACTGGTGTACTGTATTCCACAGCTTTGCGGTACTCAAGGAAATAATCGGATTTGACATAATTCGTAATACTAAGCACGTTACACATTTGAGTTCCTTAGATTTGTTCAATAGGCTGAACAGGATTATTGGAGTGTAAAGGGATATGTTGCCTGTTATTTATCACGGGACGTTAAATGTCGATCCCTCAGGGTCTCTGGATCAATCGTGTATCTCACCTGTACAAAATGAAATAATGAAATAACGGGATCGGGTGGTCACGCGATCGTATTCCAGTAGCGTCGATCGATGCTCACGCTGTTGATCACTGGGTTGTCTGGTCCGACTCGATTATGTACAGACCGCCGCCATATAGATAGAATATTGTTGAGTGCGGCGTTAAACAACAAAGAAAGAATAAAATGAAATAGAGCCGCACCCTTATGGAAGTTACAGCATCGTGTGGGGTTACTGAGAGAGACAAACAGGGGACATATATGTGCCCTCACATCATGTTCACAGGTAATCAACCTGGACCATCAGGTTACTTAACCCGCCACACCTTAACCTAAATGACAACTGTACAAGGTGACCGTCGTACGATGTTCTTCCGTCATTAGACAGATTAGAAAACACACATATATGAGTGAGTTTAGTTTTACGCCGCTTTTAGCAATATTCCAGCAATATCACGGCCGGGGACGCCAGAAATGAGCTTCACACATTGTACCCATGTGGGGAATCGAACCTGGGTCTTCGGAGTGACTAGCGAACGATTTACCACTAGGCTACCCCACCGCCCCCGCACATATATGAGACAGATGGATATGTGGGTGATTGAATATAAGAAATCTTTCTATGTGAACTTTGTGGATACATTTTATAATGATGATACAGACCGGTGTAGAGATCAACCAGCAACCCATGATTGCCTTAAGATGTGACTAACGGGATCCGGTGATCAGGCCCGATGACTTGGTTGACACATGTCATCGTATCCCAATTGTGCAGATTCTCATGATGTTGATCACTGGAATGTCTGGTCCAGACTTCATTTCCTAGAGACCGACACCATATAGTAGCAACATTGCTGAGTGCGGCGCTAAAAAGCTAACAAACAGTAATGATACAC